ATAATTTTACTATATAAATCATTACAGATCAGACTGGAATTTATTATCAGTTACTGCCTAGATCCTGTTAGTCTATAAAGATAGTTTTAGTTAGGAGTTGAACGGTACTTGCAACTTAATAAGGTCAAAAAAGTGCCGAAGAATCGAAGTATTGCAAGAGAGTCACAAACACAAAAGAGGGAGAGATAAGGAAGATAGATGTTTGATAGGAAAGAAGAACCAATCCACACTAGAACATCCACCAACCACATGCACTGAGACTGCGAAAAGCAGGGCCCACTGTATAAAACAAACAAGAAAACAATGGATAAGTTATACAGCACAGTGTATTTTTAAAAGTTCCCCATAATTACAGCACAAAGCTCCCCATTCACTGGCCACTTGGTGCTCCACCAGAGAATCCACCACGGCCGCGACCATATCCTCCTCTCTGTGAAAGAAAAAAATATTTTCAACCCGATTAAAGAGACATAACAGATACAAATATTGAATTACAGGCACAGACATGACAAATGATGATGAGAATGTGAAACTATTCCATGAGAAACAACACTGCAAACTCAAACCTGCATCGAAACAGAACAGTCAAAAGCCATACACAAACCTGCAAATTCCCCCATGACCAAAAATAAAGGAGTTTTCCTCAGAATACATCCCAACAATCAAGTCTCCAGAACTCCAGTACAATCAGATCACCCTACCTACCTATTGTGGCAAACAAATATGTAAAATATGTATTACATATATGCATGCAAAAAAATGTGTATTTTCCTGGAATGTTGTGTATGGCCATTGGAAAAGTAATTCAAGAACAAAATTACGCCATTCATTCAGAGTTTATCCCACTGCGTCACTTTTCGTCCGAATCTGTTACCTTTAGTTAGTGTGACTCAACAGCCCGCCGGAGCTCCCCAGCTCGGGGTCACGGGGTTAATAAGCCCTGAAGCGACTTTGCCGCTGTCGGTTAAGAAGTTCGTATTTTTGTCTATGTTTGAAACGACATAACTTCTTCCCCATTCCATACAGCAAACCATTACGCACATGTTCTAAAAGCTCAATGTCTTGAGATTTATTCTGCGTTAGAATGGTTAATTTCTGCGCCTTAGTTTTTGTTCTAGATAAGTGTTTGCAGTGTACTATTTTAGTCACATTTGTACTATTTTAGTCATATACTTATGAATAAATTATTGTTTATTTTTAAAAGGCACGACAGACCTCTCCAAAATCAGTGTTCAACCCTGACTATGAATATCATGTCTTTTACCATGAGAAATCTTAAATCTGTGCGACTAGTAATAGTCAAGTTATAAGAGAAGAAAGATGCACATCTGCATTTTTAAAACTAAAGACACTCTGCGTTAGCTCTTGTTCTACCATTAAACAATTGAAAGTTACCCTGCGTTTGTTCATGAATCATGCTGTGTATGTGGCAGCCTGCATACAACTAAGAAAGAATATTATGAGACTTAAGCCTTGTGCTAATTCAGTGTCACTGGAAAGCTAGAAATTATTCTTATAATACAATCACGAGAAATCATCCTTGTTATTCAGTCAACTACAAATTACAAAACCTTGGTCTAGCGTTTTAAGAAAAATAAGGAATAATTCATGGAGTGTAACTGATAGCCTACTGTTCGTGTATTACATAGTTGCAGATGTATTCTGGCACTAAAATCGGTTAGCACTTTTTCATAGAGACATCAGGGTAATTGTGATAAACTTAGAGAAAATAGGCATCAGATTCCACATTGAAAACAATGGACTATTGGCTAGTAAAGCCAATGGGGGCGGTGGCGGGGCTTATTACCTATTTTCCAAGGAAACATCCCACTATAAATGTGTACCGGGTGTTTGACATTTTGCATACAGTGGAAACCTGATATAACAGGGATAGTGGAAGTAGAGAAAATGTCCTGTTATATCCAATCCCTGTTAAATCAGAAATGCCAAGGAAAGTAAGCATTTGTGGACTAATCCAGCTGTACTTATTCATGGGTAGTTTCCCTTGCCACAAGTACCCACGAACAGGGGTTTTGGCACCAATTTTCTCCTTGCCTCCTTAAACCACATCAGAAGAGCTTGGTCCACGGCATCTGCATCGGGTAGTCTCATTTTCTTTCGATCCAGAGCAAACTTTTCATTGGAGTATGCTTCCACTATCTTCTCTCTATCCTTGATAATGGTGTGAATCGAATCGACCCTTGTGGGATGTTGAACTGACGACAAATCTCTGCCAGTGGAGCTTGCTTGTCAACAGTCTGGATTATTTCGTATTTTTGTCAATTGAAAGGCATTTTCTCTAGCGCTTGAGATCGTTGGTGACACATTATGCGTGCGTGTTGCTAGGTTTCAAGCAAGATCGAGGTCTGCAGCACACCGCAGCCCTCTCTCGCTTCACACGCTGCGTGTGCTGGCAGTGGCACGGCTTGCGTAGGCTTGTTCCTTCACTGCGTTACTGTCTCTCTCTCTCTTACTTTTTACTCACTGTTAAAGAGCCTTTGTCCCTGTTATAACCGGTTGGGCTCCAATGAGGCCCTGTTATTGCCTATAACTTTTAATAGAGACAAAGAGTAGGAAAAAACGGGGATTTTAAAAATCCCTGTCATTACCGGGCCTGTTATATATGGTTTCCACTGTATATGAAAATGCAAACAATTGCCGGATGCACACATTACACTGAATCCATTACACCATGTGGCATGAACAATGAACCCAAATGCATATTCTACCGTCAAAGAGGATTGCTTGAATCGTCATATAACCAATGCATACGTACCCGAATTACCCTAAATTAGTCCACAACAACATACACCCCACCCCTTTTCTAATTAGAGCAGCAAAGGAGAAACTTACAAATTCAAATTGTTGTGATCCAGCGCCAACTTCAGACTTCTTGTCACCTCCTCCAGCTGAAAAAAAAAGAAAAGCAAGAAAAACCCCCTCAGATCTCATTCAAAATGAAAAACCAACACATACCTGTTCACAGCGAACTAGCACAACATTAGTAACATCCATGGAAGCAGATCCATACAATAGTGACACAGAAAGAACACAAACCAATCAACCACCTACCAAACTTACTCCCATTTGGCTGGAAACTTACTGCACACACAAATGCGACACCTCAGTACCTACCCCCAGCATGAACACTGACAACACTGTAAGAAACAGAAACCACAAACACACGACATCCCTCACTAACCTAAAAGCACCCAAAGGTTACAAAAGTCTTTGTTATAATTGCAGATTGGAGGGGGGAAAAAAAAAATTCCAGGTCACCTTACAATTAACACAAAATCAGGATCTCAGGAAGGGGAAGATTGGGATTTGGTGAAAAAAATCGGAATCAACAGCAAATCATCAAGGTGACAGCCAGATTGACTTACAAATGTTTCAGGGGTGTCTATAAATATTATATGCACTTTGTGTGTGTTTTTTTCCTTTATTTTACTTTTAAATACTGAAACATCACGCCAAGAACTCCTAGTCGAAGTATCGTTACCCCCCCCAGCCCTCTATCATTAAGTCCTCAATGACATTTTAACCAGTGTGCATGAACTTAAGCCTCTACGTGGGCATCATGACCGACTCAAACCTCCCTTCCGTGGGCCACCGGCCGTGATCCGACATAAAGGTAGAAACTATACCGCTGACACGAGAATAGCAACTTTTTAAACTGCTGGTGACTACAGTCCACCAGTGCAATGTTTATTAGAGCCGCTGGCCGCCCAATTCTAGACCTGCATGTGAGCCTCAACCAGATTGTCTGAAAATTTTGCGCAGCCCCCCCCCCTAACTTATAAGAGCTTTTAAACTGTGGGTGGCATAAAAGGAAGGACTTCCGAGTAACGAGCGATGACCCGAACACAATAAAGAAGAGACCCAGACCTGCCACTCTATGAAACCTCAAAATCAGGATCTCGGGGAGAAAAAATCGGGATCAACAGGAAAATCACCAAGGTCACTGCCAAAGCTGACTTAAAATTTGTCCAGGGGTGTCCATAAATTACTTGGCCTATATGCACTCTAAGTGTCTTTGTTTGCGCACGCGCGAGCGTGTGTGTGCGAGTTATTATTTTTTGTAAATCCTGAAGCATCACGTCAAGCACTCCTAGTCTAAGTGTCTATACCCCCCCCCCCAATAAGTCCGGAAATACATGAACTTAAGTTGACCCCATTAACGGACGGTCCCCGACACGCAGAACTCACACTGCGACGTCATACCATGCGACGCAAATGCGCGATTGAAACAATTTTATTAACAGGTCCGACTAATTGCGCGTTCACACAAAACACTCGGATGAGCGACAGTCGTTCTACTTCTAGTACTCTAGGACAACGACAACGGCTGACCGACCAGTTGTACCAACAAATCTCTTATCCCTCATATGCGTTCAGACTAAAGCAACGACAACGGCCGTATGTTAGTCTTGTCAGCACAGTTACATGTAGTTGTGTAAGGGTTAGAACCACTGTCGCTCGTCCGAGAGTTTGGTGTGAACGCACAGTTAAGAGACCTCAGACAAGGTTTGTTTTGAAAGTAACAGCGGAACTACGAATATTATCGATTATTTGTATGAGCCAAAATGTAACAGTTACCAGGCTATCATCGGAGAAATCTGAGTGTGGGCAAAGGTCACACACAACTTGAGGTGAGCCAACTACTAAATACGGCATCAATATTTCGGGAAATAGTGCCCCGAGTTCAAACTGACAAAGAGTTCAACGGGTGCTTCCCACGATAAAGGAGAAGACAGAAAAATCCGGCACAACAGCAGACTGGGACAAAAAAAATCGAGGTACACGCGATTGATATTGGGAAAATCGGGATGCTTGAGATTTGGGGCAAAAAATCGGGATATCCCGACTAAATCGGGATGAGTGGCAGGTCTGAGAGACCTAACCCTAACCCAAACCAAAAAAGAACCTGCAAAGGCCCTCATGTTAAAACGCCAGAACAAATCGAAGAAAAAAAAATCACACTTCAAAAACAAACAAGGAGCATAATAATAATATGGCCTACATTGCTATAAAGAGCTTCACGCAATAACACAATAGAATTGGAATATGAATCCTCCATATATTATAGTAATCTAAATAAATCTAGATCTAGACATAGTTAAACAAATGAATAGGAATAGGCCTAGAACGAAATCCACATCCGATTCCAAACAGAGGGACTCAGCGGAGTCTAGATCTTTATTCTACGTAAATAATTCACGCACCTGATGAAATGCGTTTTACCAACATTAATAGACCTGCATGTCAGCGGTCAGCCTCAACCAGATTGTAAGAAAATATTGCGCAACCCCCCCCCCCCCCCCATTATAAGAGCCTTTGAGGGTGTCATAAAAGGAAGGACTTCCAAGTAACGAGCGACCACCCTAACAAACACAATAAAGAGATATAACCCTAACCCTTGGCTTACCCCCCCCAAAAAAACCTGCAACGGCTCTCATGTAAAAAGTCCAAAATGTGAAGAAAAGAAAAAACACACTCCAAAACAAACAAGAAGCATTTATAATATGCCCTACATTGCTTTATAATAGGGTTTGATAATAACAATTTAGAATTGGAATATGAATCCTCCATAATAGTAATCTAAATAAATCTAGATGTAGATCTAGACCTAGCAGAACAAGTGAAAAGGAATAGATCTAGGCCTTGAACGAGTAATCTGCATCCGATTCCAAACAGAGGGACTCAGCTGAGTCTAGACAGGATTCTAAATAAATAATTCACCCACCTGAAGAAATGGATTTTACAAACATTAATATTACAGCACAACCTATAATAGGGTTTGACACAATAGAATTGGAATATGAATCCTCCATTGAGGTCTATAATGATCTATAAATCTAGATCTAATATCTAGTAGAACAAGTGAGTCAGACTAGAATGAATCATGTCCACACGATCTGAACTGTAATCATTTTGTCGTCAACAAACGAAATTCAAAATGGCCGCTAGAGCATGAAACTGAAAGTAGATAATTTAGGTCATCGTCTTTTTTCGTATTCGTATTTCTACTCGGGTTCCGACAATTAGGTAGGAAACGCCGACGTCGGCGCGAAAACGAAAGTGCCGACGGGAAAAACGGGGGGGGGCCTGGCATTCGGCCAGGCCTCGCACTTCGCACATTGACTAATACATGTGGGCCTTGCGATAGCATTGCCCATTTTCAGATTTCAGACGATTGTCGGCAAACATGCAGGTCTACATTTCGCAGTCGGGGATCGGTTTGGAGTTTTTTTTATCTGCAATTCTCTGGGATATTGTTTAATTTTCAGCTGATTTAGAGACAGTTTTACCTAACATTTTTCTGGAATCGGACGACAGTGGTAACGAGTTTGAAGGATTAGGTCCTCAAATAAAAGATTTAGATCTACGTGTGAAAAGATTGGGATACATTGTGTAGTAGACCTAGCAAGGTTAAGCCCAGAAGGGGACGTCGATATTCCTGCTCATCTTCAAGCAGGCTGGACTAAAAATGATGAGGATTTTGATACCAACAACATCATAAAAAACCACATCTGACCAGACACAAGTGTAGTTCATTATTTAAGATACATCTTTCCTTCTAACTGTAATTAGAAATTATAATGAATAAGAAAGATATGAGAGCTTTTTTTTTACAAATGCCGGCTCAATTTCTCCGAACACTCGGGAAAATAAACTAGAACTCTTTCTAGAAACGGTTTCCGTTCTCGAGATTTTTTGACAATTTGCAAATGGAGCGACGCGCGCGTATATGTGATTGAGTGTGTGTGAAAGAGGCGCGGAGGGGTTTTTTTTTTTGTTTACATGAAAGATTTTAGTGTTTGCTTTCGGGGTGACTAAATGCAAATAGATTACTGCAAAGGTTGAGCAGTGCTGTTTTCTTGCAGTACCATTTGAAGTCATTTTCCGGAAACGTTGCCCCAACCACAACTGAAGTATATGAATATTCAGACATTTAAAATTCTCTAGATCTAGCTCTAGAAATTGAATTCGATGTAAAAAAATGCTTCTTCCCAGTCCTCGCAGAATGGCAGAATGAAAGATGACGCCTAAATCTCCCAAATAACAAAAAATCTTGAGAACAGACACAGTCCGAAGAAATAGTCACTTCGTATTTTATAACAATGTTGAAAATTAGAATTTTTCTAAAATAAAACAAGCATTGAAGGGAAGTAATGGTAAAAATGGCTTAGCGCTAAAAGGGTTAAGTTGACCGCATTAACAGACAGTCCTCGGCACACACCAAACGCATGCGAGTGAAACGGTTTTACCGACAGATTCGGGTCGGTTGCCCAAACCTGAAAACAAACGTCGGTGTTAAGACCTTTCAAGAAGCACATAAACCAACAGACCCCCCAAAATACTCACGTGGGCCAGCTTTACGGTATTCAGCGCGGTCTGAAGCTGCTCCAGCTCTGGGTCCCTCAGGGCCTTCAAGAAAAGAGAGAACAAATTTTCCACACTTAGAACACAGAGAAAAGAGACATTTAACAGATGATCCTTTTGTTAGGCATGGCCACTTGAAAAAAAAACCCTGAAAATATATTACATAATTCCAACACCAGGTGGCTATAGTTCATAACTGACCTTGTCTTGTTCACTTTTCTTCTTCTGACATCTTTCCAACACCGACTATCCAATCGTGTACACAAAACGCTGAGTGCGCACGACACCAGCCAGCTCACCATCACTTTTAATACTTTGATATTTTATCTAATAAATCCAGTTCTCTACTAGTAAAAGCATGCACACTTTGTAATAGAAAATAAGATCATCTCTGTATATATATCCATTGTGGGACAGTCCTTTCGTGCGGTAGATTAAGATGCGTTTAGATAATATCGTTTACAGGCCAGGAGATATTTCGCATGGGTAGGCTACAACTCATACTATAAATGTATCAGACATTTATACCCCCCCCACCTTCTCTCTCTCTTTCTCTCTCTAACACACACACACACATGCACTCACACACGTACACGTGAACGATAACAGTGTATAAATGGGACTATCTTCTCAGACTGGACTAAATACGTACCATACTCTTTATTAACAATCTTAATTAATGCCTCACTTTTCGAAGCAGGACGAGTCCAAGTGTGTGCTTTCCCAAGAGGGGGAATAGGCTTTCATAACGCAAACACAATGCCATACCACTTCTCAAGATGTTTGCTTTTCTGTTTCTATTCTCTCATGCAATTAAGCAAATAAAAATGCCTACATTTTTCACATTGTGACCAAATAAAACGCAACACAAATGCAAGTTACCAAGGCCCCCGTTTAGTTTTGAAGTATCCTTCCCCCCCTTTCGGGTTCACATAAATAAGCGGGGCCTCGTTTGTAGCGGCCGAGGCGACCGATGACGTCAGTGGAATTTTCCCAGCCGCTGGTTGTTCACCTAGCACACGCAAATATGGCAATGCCTCTTTTCCCTTAGCAACTCCCACATTTTTAATGATTACGCAAAAACCGCTCAACACAAAAGCATGATATTTTAAGGGAATAAAGAAAAATGGTGTACAACTTATCAGTCAGTTTGACAAATCACAGCTCCGAAAAATCTTCAAAGCACACCACATCAACCACTTTCCCAAACGTTTTCGACTGCTTCTTGGATGGGTACAAACTTGTCAATCTGCATACTACGAGATTGACCTTTTTCTGATTCGCTGCCAAGCTTCATTCATATTCATTCACGAGAAGCGTCGTGAAAGCGAGTTGAAGACAACAACCATTGCGTTAGTTTGTCCCATGGAACACCCCTGCGGTGGGGGCCAAAAATTGGCAGAACAAAACGCGCTCGGTGGGCATTGCTAATATATATGCTTCAATATCTCAACGCAAATCCACAAATACACTAGAAGGGAAATTCTAAATCAGTTTGATATTCAACGCACTAAATATGAAACCTGGAAAGCATTAGAGCTACTTTTTAACAATTGGCACAACAAATTTCTGAACAGCTTTCCGATTTTTTCCAAGGAAAACTTCAGACCTTGAAAATCATTGAACTTCCGATTTTTTTCCTAGGAAATCTTGTTGTGTATATATATATTTATATATATAGAAGTCCTGTCATCATCAAACATTATTCTGTAATGTGAGAATAAACAGTGGGTGTATGTTTCCGTGCCAAGTTAATGTGCGAGAAGGACTAAAAGGACTATTATAATATAGATCTAATAATAATAATAGTACGTGCAAGACGAATGCATCACACAATTCAGTTATATTACGCAAGGGAAATATTTGTTTACTTTATAGGTTACTTTCATTGATTTATACTGCACTCTCTCCTTTTATTATTGAGTTGGGTTGGGGATTTTTCAAAGCAGGAAGGGTTTAAAAATCTGAAATCAGAGGGAATCTGAAATATTTACATCCGTGAAAATTCAAGCCTGCCACCTAGCCAAAACTGCACAGAGTTCAAAACGCTGCTGGGAAATAAATCAAGCAATGGCTAGCATTCATTTGCATGATGAATTCCTCAAATAACTGCAACTTTAAACTAAGCACTGGAGAAAATAGAAGGCAAACTGAACAGGAATAGAGACCCGGAGCAATTAACTTGTTTAGTTTTAGTAAGAGTCTTACAGCACTTGCAACACAATAAGGCCATATATATAAGTGCCAAAGAATAGATTACGTGTTACAAGAGAGTAACAGACACAAAAAAGAAGGAGGGGAGATAAGGACAACACATGTTTGATAGGAAAGAAGGAGCAAACCACACCACAGCACCCGCCAACAACTCACAGAGCAATTAACTTGGAAAAGCCAAACAGAAGGGTGACGTGGAAAGACCACAAATAATATGTGTTAGAACACCGTGGAATCAGTTGCTTGTCAAATTTTGGATATAATATGAAGTTACTGGTAAATGCAGCTTATTTATGGCGACACATGGTCAGGCCCTTAATTGTTAAAATGATCTCATACTTTATAACTTAATGGCATGCAAAGAGTCATTAACCTTGATGCCCAATAACAATGTTCTTTTCTTAGAAGAATTCTGCTACAGCAAAGTTGACGAAGTAATGGTCACATGTCATCAGCACAGAAAACGTGGAGCACTGAAAAGAAGTAGACCTCGTTCGACGAGTGAACCAGCTTTTCATATACTTTTGGTACAACATACAAAGACACAGACAAAGCAAGACAGACCTCCTTTGGGCCTGGTTGGTCTCGGGGCTTCTGTGCGTGTCTGTCTCTTCAGAGTAGCGGGGACGATTTCAGCAGGCAGATGTAGGAACTCCCTCAGATATTGGATGCCCTCATTTGTCAAATACCAGTAGTAATGCCTCCAGGCAAACTGTTCCCTGACAAATCCTTTGGACTTCAGGCTCTATGAACAAACAGCACAGGCATAATAAATTTAGTCAAATTAATGTCAGCATTTTCCACATTGCGAAAATGAAATCAAACAAAACTTTAATACATATTCAAGGTAATCTGAACGCACTGAATAAGGGGGTTTACTACAATACAATCAGTAAAACAATTGTAAAAACAGGAGAAAAAAGGGTAAATTCCTACTTCCACTCCCGCACACAGTTGGCTGCAGATCACACATAAAGCCACTCAAACTGTCGCAAATCAATTATGAGTTAAAACAGGGCCTACCCCCGTGAAAGCGAGTTGAAGACAACAACCATTGCGTTAGTTTGTCCCATGGAACACCCCTGCGGTGGGGGCCAAAAATTGGCACAACAAAACGCGCTCGGTGGGCATTGCTAATATATATGCTTCAATATCTCAACGCAAATCCACAAATACACTAGAAGGGAAATTCTAAATCAGTTTGATATTCAACGCACTAAATATGAAACCTGGAAAGCATTAGAGCTACTTTTTAACAATTGGCACAACAAATTTCTGAACAGCTTTCCGATTTTTTCCAAGGAAAACTTCAGACCTTGAAAATCATTGAACTTCCGATTTTTTTCCTAGGAAATCTTGTTATGTATGTATGTATGTTATGTATGTAGAAGTCCTGTCATCATCAAACATTATTCTGTAATGTGAGAATAAACAGTGGGTGTATGTTTCCGTGCCAAGTTAATGTGCGAGAAGGACTAAAAGGACTATTATAATATAGATCTAATAATAATAATAGTACGTGCAAGACGAATGCATCACACAATTCAGTTATATTACGCAAGGGAAATATTTGTTTACTTTATAGGTTACTTTCATTGATTTATACTGCACTCTCTCCTTTTATTATTGAGTTGGGTTGGGGATTTTTCAAAGCAGGAAGGGTTTAAAAATCTGAAATCAGAGGGAATCTGAAATATTTACATCCGTGAAAATTCAAGCCTGCCACCTAGCCAAAACTGTACAGAGTTCAAAACGCTGCTGGGAAATAAATCAAGCAATGGCTAGCATTCGTTTGCATGATGAATTCCTCAAATAACTGCAACTTTAAACTAAGCACTGGAGAAAATAGAAGGCAAACTGAACAGGAATAGAGACCCGGAGCAATTAACTTGTTTAGTTTTAGTAAGAGTCTTACAGCACTTGCAACACAATAAGGCCATATATATAAGTGCCAAAGAATAGATTACGTGTTACAAGAGAGTAACAGACACAAAAAAGAAGGAGGGGAGATAAGGACAACACATGTTTAATAGGAAAGAAGGAGCAAACCACACCACAGCACCCGCCAATAACTCACAGAGCAATTAACTTGGAAAAGCCAAACAGAAGGGTGACGTGGAAAGACCACAAATAATATGTGTTAGAACACCGTGGAATCAGTTGCTTGTCAAATTTTGGATATAATATGAAGTTATTGGTAAATGCAGCTTATTTATGGCGACACATGGTCAGGCCCTTAATTGTTAAAATGATCTCATACTTTATAACTTAATGGCATGCAAAGAGTCATTAACCTTGATGCCCAATAACAATGTTCTTTTCTTAGAAGAATTCTGCTACAGCAAAGTTGACGAAGTAATGGTCACATGTCATCAGCACAGAAAACGTGGAGCACTGAAAAGAAGTAGACCTCATTCGACGAGTGAACCAGCTTTTCATATACTTTTGGTACAACATACAAAGACACAGACAAAGCAAGACAGACCTCCTTTGGGCCTGGTTGGTCTCGGGGCTTCTGTGCGTGTCTGTCTCTTCAGAGTAGCGGGGACGATTTCAGCAGGCAGATGTAGGAACTCCCTCAGATATTGGATGCCCTCATTTGTCAAATACCAGTAGTAATGCCTCCAGGCAAACTGTTCCCTGACAAATCCTTTGGACTTCAGGCTCTATGAACAAACAGCACAGGCATAATAAATTTAGTCAAATTAATGTCAGCATTTTCCACATTGCGAAAATGAAATCAAACAAAACTTTAATACATATTCAAGGTAATCTGAAGGCACTGAATAAGGGGGTTTACTACAATACAATCAGTAAAACAATTGTAAAAACAGGAGAAAAAAGGGTAAATTCCTACTTCCACTCCCGCACACAGTTGGCTGCAGATCACACATAAAGCCACTCAAACTGTCGCAAATCAATTATGAGTTAAAACAGGGCCTACCCCCCCCCCCCCCCCCCGAGGGGTGGGCTATATAAAAAAAAAAAAGAGGGGGGGGTAGGTGTAATTGGTCACACCTCGAAAAAAAAAACTTTTTTTTTTTTTTTTTTAAACGGTAAGTTTTTACTTACACCCACACTCAGATGCATTGATTTGAGGGCTAAACTGCCATAATTTTTGCTGTAGAACACACGTATGGCCACTAAAACCCTTGCAAATCTAGTTTTCAAGTAAATATCATTCCTAATTGCCAAAACATCAAATTATTGTGAAATGCCACGCCCTCCTGAAACATCCCAGATTCTTTTTAGGTCGGGGGGCATGACCCCCTGAAACCCCCCATGCTGATAAAATCAAGTCAAATATTACTAGGCTATTGTTAGGGGACCGTACGCCCCAATAGCGCTTGGCGCTAGGGGACCGTACGTCCTTTGCTCTGAGGCTTGGTGTTACGGGACCGTGCGCAGATACGTGCATGCATCCAAAAATACTGGAAGAAAACGGCCAGTTTAACGAAGTTCCTGGCGTAAGGAGTTATTACCAAGAGAATGTTTAAAATATCTGAATATGATTGTGAGGTATCCAGTGGCCGTGGGTGAACCAGAATTTGAAATTTGCTCACGTCTGCACCCACGTTGTTATGTGTCAATAAAAGAAATCAAAGCGAGGGAGGGAGAGAAAGAGAGTGAGAGAGAGAGAGAGAGTGTGTGTGAGAGAGAGAGAGAGAGAGAGAGAGGAGCGAAGAGAGAGAGAGAGAGGGGGGGGGAAGAGAGAGAGACAGAGAGAGAGAGAGGAGCGAAGAGAGAGAGAGAGAGGGAAGAGAGAGAGAGAGAAAGAGAGAGAGACAGAGAGAGAGAGAGGGGGGGGGGGGAGAAGAGAGAGAGACAGAGAGAGAGAGAGAGAGAGAGAGAGAGAGAGAGAGAGAGAGAGAGAGAGAGAGAGAGAGAGAGAGAGAATAAAGCTATTAGATTGAGAAGAGATCATTAATCATGTAACGCCTTGGGTGGAATATGAGTTAAGAGTGCAAATTAAATTAATAGTATACCAACTTACGCCTATAGTGCGGTCAAAAATGCACGCGCAACTTATTGTGAAATATCTCCTTACCTATCGAGCATAGATTTTCCAACTTTTGCACAGTGACTTATATCAATTTGTCTTAACAGGGGGATATTTTTTCAAACTCCTGCACACTGTATTCTAGAAAATTCCTTAATAAGTACTAATGAAAAAATCCCAGTCGATTGTTTCTACAAATTAAAATTTTTTTACAGCTCAGTCAATATTGCTTTTAAAAGCAAGTTTGTCATCTTTTCCCAATCGCAATAGCATGCACGCTTATTGAACGTATGTTTAGGAAACCCTTTAGTGTAAAAAGAATGTGAAAAAGTGTAATTGGCGAGCTAAGACGTAGGCCATATTATGCGTATGCAAAATGTGTGAGAGAAGCGGGAAGTGTTATGAACAATCACATTTTTCGCATGATGGAGATTTATAGGCCTAGTATTTTATATAAATTTATGAAGAACATCTTTTTTGATCGAGCCTCAATTGTTGTGAAAAAATATAATTCAGTTAAGGCCTTTTTTTAAAATTTATACAAACTGCTGTGCAAAGTATGGGTGACATTGATTCTCCGGTTAAAGAGATATTTGAGGAAAAGTTGAGCCACAAATTTTTGACCGCACTATAGTTACACGACACCTGCGCGCAAAAGTAGTCCAGTTATACTAATGTTGTTTTATTATTAATGTGCACAGGCGTATAATATTATACGTGATGCGCTTGCAAATAAACTTTATTTCGTCTGTGCTTGGTTCACAACCCCGACGTTCTGTCAAGTCTCTACAATAGTTTGCTTCGCTTTTCATCTACCTTTTCCAAGCTGTCTTCTTTTTCCTTTCTTTTCATGTTATTGTTATTGTCACTGAATATGAGTTGATCTTGCATCTTGCGGGCTATCAAGACTTAGTGCGTGCTCAGGCGTGTTCTCTCATGCAAAAGTGAGTAAATTTGCGGCGTTTACTAGCGTCGTTAAATGGGGCTTAGGGGCCTATTTCTTTTAGGTCGCAAAGCTTAATAATGTACTCACGTCTGCCCGCATAATGCACATGCGCACACACACTATTATCCTACTCATTTTTGTCACAACCATTCCATTTGTGTAAATTTGTTCATCTCTTTCTTTCTCTCACGAACACCCCCCCCCTCCCTCATCTCTCTCTCTCTCTCTAACACACACACACACATATACACACACACACACTCTCTCTCTTTTCTCTCGATCTCTATTTTCTCTCTCTCTCCCCCCCCCCTCTCTCTGATTTCTTTTATTGACACATAACAACAACTTGGGTGCAGACGTGAGCAAATTTCAAAATTTGGTTCACCCACGGCCACTGGATACCTCACAATCGTATTCAGATATTTTAAACATTCTCCTAGTCCTAGTTATAACTCCTTACGTCAGGAGCTTCGTTAAAGTGACCGTTTTCCTCCAGTATTTTTGCAAAGTCCAGATGCATGCATATCTGCGTACGGTCCCGTAACACCACGCCTTAGCGCAGGTAGGACGTACGGTCCCCTAGCGCCAAACACTATGGGGGCGTACGGTCCCCTTGCGCCAAGCGCTATTGGGGCGTACGGTCCCCTAACATCAGCCATATTACTATTTTCAAACATAACTCAAAAACTATTGATTTGCGGCAAAAATGAAGGCCCATATTCGTGTTCAGCATGCAAAATACCACTAGAAAAAAAAAATATATAAAACATGTACATGAGTAAAAAAAAACACCCTCAAAAACTATTGAAACTAAGTGTGAAACGGGAGAGAAAGTAAAAGAATACCGAAAAGAGCACGACACTCCAGCTTACTAGTTTAAGCCACACATTTCACTACCTCAACACAATGAAAAGATAGGGAAGAATGGTAAATTTTTACTTTCACTCCCGCACACAGATGCACTGTTTCAAGGGTCAAACTGCAGTACTGTTTGCTGCAGATCACATACACTAAAACAGTCGCAAATCAATTATTTTCAAGACAATTTCAAATCTAACTCACTAACTGTAAAATATCAAATTATGGGTAAAAACAGGGGGGCATGCCCCCCTGTACCCCCCCCCCAGATTTTCTTTTACCCCAGTGGGGCAGGCCCCCCTGGTACCCCCCGACTGGTCCAAAGCACGTCTATCTCGGTTAAAAACAATCAAATATTTCAAAAACTATTAATTTGCGACGGAAATGAAGTTGATATTCGTGTTCTGCGCATCAATATTTAGTAGAAAATAGACAACTGGTAGCTGAGTGTGAGACGGGAGGGAAAGTAAAAAAATACCGGAAGAATTAGGCCTAAACCATCACCAAAAAAGCCCCCAGACAAAAACTGTAGACTATGGTAATTTCAGAGTCCACTTAAATACAAAACTGCATATCCAGTTAAACAAGACATCATCAAACTAAAATCAAAGCCTGAAAAGTAAAGATGCAATAACATTCTTAAACTTAATACTTAATGATAACAATACTGGAAGGGGTACGTGACAAGAACCTAATAAGGTAACAACTGAACGACTGTGCATTTGGAGACTTGGCGGGCTTATTAAAATCTTGAAATATCAAAGAGCCCTAAGGGCCCATTCACTTACGGTCAAAGCCTTCATCACGTGCAGATTTGGGACATCAATGTCGGGATGTTTTGCTGCAAAGGGGTCCTTCTTTGCAACAAGGACACCCTCCTTGAACAAATACTCATAGATTGACACTCGATTTTTCTTGGGAATAAGCATCTTGATGCTGTGGAAAAAACGTTTGGAACAATTAAAGTAATTTAAAGCTCGTCTCTTATCATTAGTGACATTAGGCCATTTAGTGTTATCTTTTATAAACAATCTCAGAAATTCTCAATTTAATTTCGGCATGTCTACATACACGGTAACCGGGCACGTAGTCTCAGTGTCACGTACATGGTAACTAGGCTGTTCAGAACTACAAATTCAGTTTTTGTCATCCGGTGTTGCCTTCATCACCCCCCCCCCCCCCCCCGACTGTACCTTTAAAAAAAAAATAACCTCCCTCTTCCGGAGCCCTATACTTCGCAGCGCACAGACTTTGAATGAACCTTGGTGACCCCAACCGGTACTCACAATGTGATGCGCACAGTATAGGTTCACTGACTGGTCACTATGGCAAGCCCAACAAGACGCTTGAATGACTTTCTTTTTTTTCACCAAGAGACAGCACAGGACAAATATTGATTTATCTTCATTCCAGTTACCGTGTACGAAGATACTGAGACAAGGTGAGACTAGGAGCCCGGTTACCGTGAACGTAGACACTCCTGTGCGTGCTCACACACACACGAACAGTACAGCCCAAGCAGTCGGAGATGAAACTTAACCATCGTCTTGTGGGGGCTGGGTTTATGCCACCCGAAAAGCCTATTTCGACACCTCCCCTTCGTTCTGGTCCCGTGTCAGTCCGGCCCCTAGCTCAGCGCACCGAGCATTATCATCTCCATTCAATTCGGGTCCCGTGTCTGACCCGCATTCACGCAGCTGAAGTCTTTACTGTGTGCGTCACTCTTGAGTTTCTGTACGTTTGTGGCCTGTCTTCATTCAAAACACACCAAGTTGGTAGCTGTAGATGTTTGTTCGTTCATCGAAATAAGAACAAACTGGCCCACTTAGACAGGAGGAGCTCGAAAGGATAGTCAGGAAACAAAACGGTGATCCAATTGTTTACATCCAGAGAAGAAATCCAGAAGTCTTGATGACCAAATACTCTATTACTATTTGAAATAGGCTACGCAAAGTGACAAAGAGCAGGGATGCAACCTAACTGTAAAACATCAAATTAGGATAAAGTTCAGGGGGAACCCCCACCTTCATATTTTTATTAGGGAACCCCCCCCCTACTCTTGACTTTAACGAACGAAACTACAATACAAAATCGCTAACCAAAACATTTTTCTACACAAAATCTTTCAAATGAGCTTGATTTTGTACGAAAAGATACTAGAATTTACCTGATAAAAAATAAGCTTGTTTGATAAGTTTTGAATATCATTGTGCAGGTAAAAAGAACAATTTGAGTGCAAAACATTTGGAAATTGACCTAGGCTATAGCCTATACTAGCCTAGAATTATCCCCTTTCAAACCCCAGATCATTCATAACAAAAAGTGTCTAAAAAGGTTTTCGGATGGGCATAACTAGATTCTAGATCTAGAATCTATATCTAGATCTACTCGTAGTAATGTCTTATCAGCTTATGAGAGGGGGTTACTCATGTGTTCGCAACTTTATAAATAGAAAGCTATAAAAGTAAAAAAAAGATAAGAGCATTATTTTCATCGATTAACACACTCCCATGGTATTCATGGCGAAAAGACACGTTTCCATGCCCACTCAGTGTACACGAACACACTGAACTGAGTGACCCCTGCGGCCAGCCCGGAACGTCCAACGTAATCGGCTGCTGATAAGATTCGCATCTTAGCACAGACGCAGGACAAGAGTGGCGTGGCCCATTGTGCACAAAGAAGCGGCAAAGCCATGGCACGGTGAGATCTAGATTACAAGGCCACAAGGGGAGTCACTGACAAGGGAAGCCCGGAATACGACAAAAAATAAATGGCGGAAATACATCGTCTATAGCCTAATTGGGCTAATCACAGAGGTGTGCTGGGTGCTCGCTGTACTGTAGCTTCAGGTGTGTGGTGACATGACAGCCAGTCAGCTGTCAATTTCCAGCCTTCAGCTCCACTGTCCACACTCAGATATAGAATCTAGATCTAGATTTCTAGATCTATCGCAAATGATGTTCATGGTGCATTTCGGTCTTGGTTATTGGTAAATCCAAAGCTGAGTTCAAGACGGGTATTCGTAGTAGTGTAGCTAGAAGACAAAACGAAAGCAGGGAGAACAACCATGACATGAACCACAACCTATTATCGCAGTAACAACAAGATCCACGAAAATTTAAAAAAACGACGGGCGGTTTGCTTCAAAAAGTAAGAAATAATCATGTATGGCCATATTTACATGTTACAATCACTACAATGAGTATCTCAGGTAATAACTCAGCAAGATGAAGACTGATTTTAGACAACAGTAGGGTGGACGATTACCTTCTTTGGAGCAACAAAATAGAAAAGGACCGACCGGAAGTTGATCTTCCAAATTGTTTATAAAAATGCAAGTACTGCTCTAACGAAACAAACTAACACTGGAGCTCACATCGTCATGATAGATTTATAATAATATAAGATTTTAAGTGTCATGTACCAGATGCTGGAACAATACAGAAATACTATGCCTAATATTTTAATCTTTAGACAGAACTCGTGACAATAAGCCTAAGCCAAGGCCTAGGCCTGAGCTTAAGTGTCTTTTCAAGGTAAAGAGAAAAGTCAGCGCGGAAAAGCAATGGAAGAAGTCCCACTTTATCCATTAAATTATTATTATTATTATGCCAATAAAAAGTGAGGTCGAAGACGAGCGCTTGTGTGCGTATCTTGTGTGCGTGGGTTGGTGTGTGTGTGTGTGTGTGTGTGTGTGTGTGTGTGTGTGTGTGTGTGTGTGTGTGTGTGTGTGTGTGTGTGCGTGTGTTAGTGAAGAGGGTAACACGTAAATCCTCGACTTATATTTAGTTATATTCAGCACTAATTAATTATTACCTATAGCGCCGTCAAAAATTCCTGTCCCTAATTATTGTCAATATTTCCTTAAACAGACCCTCCTGCATTTGCACAATGTCTTTTATCAATTTGCATTTACAGATCAACATTTTTGTAAATACCTGTAAACTTTATTTTAGAAAATTCCTTTATAAACACTAATTTTAAAAAAACCCCACCTAATTCGTGGTTTCTATAGATTTTACATCCCATGAGCTGAGACAGGATCACTTTTAAAAGCAATTCTGTCCTTTTCTTTTTTATCATCTCACCATAACACTATGCTTATTGAACACTTATTTTAAGAGCCACTTCGTGCACAAAAAAGTGTTCACTATAAAATTAACACTTTGTAACAAGTTTTGCCTTTTAATTATATATATATATAATATATTATAATATAAATTATTGTACATATATGCGGTACGCAAAATGTGTGTGAGAAGCGGAAAGTGCCCTCCACCCTCCAACCCCCCCCCCCCCCAAAAAAAAAAAAACAACATTGATTCACCCGTTAAAAAGATATTTGGATAAATTCCTCCACGATTTAAAAAAAAAAATGTTTTTGCTGTTGCTTTGTTCTGTTTTGTTTGTTTGCTTTTCTTGGGAAAAAAAGGGGGCGGGGTGTTGTTGCGTGTCCTTGATGTCTGCTCTCGGTCTCTCCTCGAAGTTGTTGTTTCAGATCGGAATGGCCGCTCAACACACTTTTAGCACAGGAGCAGGAGAACAACTTACCTTACTTTTCTTTTGGTCGTCATATTTAACTTTGCGATTTGCAATCTAAACTGATAAGTTTATGCGAATAGGCACAAACAGTAAGATCGTGGTTGAGTTCATTTTGGATAAGATCACTGTGTTTACAGGGGGGGTGTCAACGATGCCACATAGGTCATAAATAGACCTAGTCTTCTTTTGGCTGGGACTTCCCCAGATCTGAGCAAACCTTGCTGATCCGATACAAACCTTTAAAATTTTTGTTCTACAGAATCACTAGATGTGTTTTATGCTGGATTTAGCAACATAAAATTATTCTGCCTTTGAACTTACTTTCACTTTGCAATTTCATATTATGCTGCCTCGGTTTAGGGAAAACTGGCATTCATACAGCACCCAATTTTCCTTTTCCCACTGTATCGCTTCTCATTTGATCTTTGGGATATTGACCTTTGACATCATTTCTTTGTTGTAAGAGAAGAGTTGTAATCGTAATAAACTTAAATTTACTTAAAATATCATTCAGTCTAGCATGCACCCAGAGAACACGCATATAGTGGTAAAACGCACATTATAATATTAATATTTTCAGGTCCCATCAACATATAGCTTATATAGTGGCGTCCAAAAGAAACTTGAAAATGTAATCACCCAATAATTGTGTGAAAGCCTTCAACTACCCACTATAAGACTATATAATGCAGCGTACAAATTTAAAGCAAAATAAATTCTGCACCATCTGATTTCTTAATATTTCATCTATGTTAAGAGACGCCCAAAATATGGTCACTCAAAATTGACCTTTAAAAAATCAGGCTTGGCAAAATTGTGCGAAATCAAAGAAACGTAAAAAGTGTATTCGCGTGTCTATTGAGGAGCATCAACATTATTGGTAGAATGGGCATGTATTAAGTATCAAATGAAAAAAAGAATATAGCGTTGTCTCTGCAAGGAACAGCATCTTCTGGTGATATTTTCAAACAGATGGGAAAACAGCTGTTACAAATACCACGCAAAACGTACATGGCATGTGCTTATTGATGTTATTTTGGGGTTTTTTTATTTAGAAGCTATTGGTTTCGTGTAGAGCACAAAATCTTTTTTTGCCGATGGACTGTGTTTGATGTTGGACATAATCATCTGTCAGTGATGAACAGAGGCCACGAAACTGTCGCGGTTGCGGGTGGTCTGGAGTGGAATGAACAAAACCACCTTCGTGAGAATCACCGGACGGCTTGGTTCGGTGGACTACATCGCTCAAGTGCTGGAACGTCATGTCTTACCCTTATTTTTGTCATGGTGTCATTCAGGTTCACATCCCCAAGAATAACAAAGCATTATCTCACGGGGCCATATTCCACTAGACATTTCTTGGAAAACTAAATCAAACCAACGTTGGAGTGGTCACCAATAAATAGCCCCGATGTAAATCCAACAGGTATGTCAAGTCCCACAAAACAGTAACGGAAGAAAAACGACTTTGCTCACAATTCTAGCATCTGCGTTTTTTGTTGCCATTTTTTAAATCCAAAAGTTTCAAAACGTTGCCAAAAATTACCACAAAAAGTGGCAAAAGTTGCCAAAATAGTTGCCATTAATTTTCAAGCTTCCAACTCTCTATGACGACGTATATAGCAATATGTTGATAGATGTAACAATCTAAAGCACCAGAATTTCTTGTGCTCTGTTTTAAGCATCCAGAATATCACTTGTAGTCACCCACAGGGTAAAAACGTTAAAAAATAAAGATTTCACAAAAGATTAGAATAGAATCAAAATAAGAACAGCACAAATAAATAACCACGAAAATTAACAAATAAGGGCCCGTGTCCACCTATCTGAAGATTGGCTGTTTTAACCCTAAACGTTTGTAAGTCAAGATGAAGTAGGCCTACAGGATATTACACATGTACATGTAAATTATTATGGAATCACACGCAATTGGGGCGTGCCAGTGTCAGTATTTGGTTTTGGTGGAGACACGCTCTAACATAACACATTTATTTTTTTTAAAGGGTAGGAACA